GGGGGGAGTGGGTGCACCCCTGGCACTTGGTGGCCTTCGCACTGAAGAAGGTGCTGCTTTTTCTTTTGATCTTCTGTTCTATCTCTCTGTTGATGTAGGAGCAAATTCCTAGGATGGATTTTTATATTCTTTTTATCCTTCCTTCTTCTATTTATATCTACTTTGCCCCTTTAAATGTTTCACGCCATGTATTTCCCATTTTATTTCTCCTCTCTTCACCTTCATTTCCATCTTTGTTTCCATGCAAACAGTGACAACTGGTTTCCTTTATTATTAAAGCAAGTGTCAATTTGGAATATCTTTTCTTTTAAATAGAATACCTTTGATTTTTTTTTTGTGAGGATAATTCTTTATAGAGAATTTTACATATTAAGGTGTACTATATGTATTTAGTCATCATTTAGATCACATCTTGCCTCTCTGGAGGGTTTTTGTTACAAAGTTCAGTTGTTAATATGTAAAATTTAATGAAATTTATAATTAATCTGGCAAGGAATTAACTTGTTCTGACATTTACCTCTGTGCACGATGGCAAGCGTGCAAATACCATCTGTTGTCTGCAGTTTGCTCATGGTATTCCTCTTCAAGTTTTTCTTAATAGATTTGCGGAATGGAAACATTTTAAAAACTCAGCCTTTAAAAAAATAGGTTGCAAGAGAAAACTATTTTTTTATGGCTTATTTTTGCTTGTTTTAATAATCATCAATCATAATCATCAACTGGGCTACATTGCTTATGTACGTATGTATACACATATCTTTTGGGAAACACTCTCTGGTCTTTCCGTTGAAATTCTGAAGGATTTAGAAAAATTGTTTAAGTTTGGCCATATAATACAGAACTAAAGGTTTTCCAACATGAACAACAGATTAAAGGTTCAGAGCAAATATAATTATGAAGTCACATGTTCACATCATGTTTGTGCAGGGGATCGTTGGAGTTCCAGGAATTACAGGACCAAAAGGGATGAAGGTGATTTGATTTACAACTATGTTCGAAACTTTCATTTGAAACTTATTTTCTATTTGTACATCACTTATAAAAACATATTCTTTAAAAAAAAAAAAAACTAGCCTTAAGATCCAGCCTCTGTCAACAGACATGTTTTACAAACAATACGCAGATCAGAAAAAACACAGTAATGTAAAGGCATATTATTCATGTCTCATCCTATTTTAGGGTTTCCAAGGTTATTTAGGCAGCAGAGGTCAGGATGGCAAACCTGGAGCACGGGTAAGTGTGGTTTAGTTTTTAAAGTGATAATTTAGGTTTAATAAAGACAAAAGGGCACTCTTCCAGGTACACTAACATTAACTGGCCTTTACTGACAGTAAACCCAAATGTTAAAGGTATTTGATTTAACCTAGTACTTAAAACTCTGCTAAGTCAAATATTTTGAGGTCCTGTAAGATGTTCTTGTGTTCCGTGTACACTAAACTCTTTCCTATGAATCAATCAGGATTATTTTATTCATATTTTATTCTGGCATCAATTAAGAATAGCTTAAATAACTTAAGAAGGAACTACATAACTTTAATAAGAAAGTACTTGTGCAGACACCATGAGTAACATTGCTGTTAGAATTAACGAGGACTGTTTATATTGGTGAATTTAGAGACAAAATTCCTGATATTCAAGGTTAATTGTAAACTAAAGCCTTAATTGATAACATAAAACAGTTCCTTGTAAAATATAAAAGTTAATTTTAAGTCAAAGAAGCTCAGTATTGGTGAGTACTATTGATGTGTAATTGATATTTAAATAAAAGATACTTGTCATTGTAGCAATATTACTGGTTTTATTTTAAGTGTCAGATTAAAACTTAAGTAGCAGATTGTGCAGATCATGCTTCAAATGTCTTAGAAATCATTTGGTAGTGGGGATGCTGTGGTGGGGAGGTTTTGGGGTTGTGTAATAAGCTGTTAAATACCTTTTCTATATTTTAGGGACCAATTGGTGAAAATGGAACAACTGGGGAGTCTGGATTGGAAGGAATAAAGGTAAGTGTACTGCTGTAGCCTTGCCTTGTTAACATATCTTGAAAGGTTTAATAGTTTTGCCGTCGATAGGCCGGATGCTATCAGTCAAAACAATTTTAGCCACCAATAAAGTCAAACAGATTAGAGAAAAACGGCAAATGTTAATACTTTGGGATTCCAAATGGCTCTGTGCTATAAATGTATTTTAATCAGTTGTACACGTACAAATATTCTATTGCACTTGCAAGGTTTTCAGTTTAAATTTTTACATTTCTCTGCTGAGTCTGCATTTTCTCCATGTATTTCTTTAGGTACTAAAACATGCCTGTTTGATGAACTTATGCCTTCAAATAGGATGTTAATAATAAGTAATAATTTAACTTTATTAATCTAACACTGGAAAAATTCTCTCTCTGCATTTAACCCATCCCCTTGGGGAGCAGTGGGCTGCCACTGTGCGGCACCCGGGGAGCAGTGTGGAGATAAGGGTCTTGCTCGGAGACCCAGAGTGCAAGCTGTCGGGATCGAACCAGGTTCTTGCAACCTTTTTAGAGCACAAGCGCACTGCCCTTACCACTAAGCCAACACTCCTGATGTTAGGAGTTTTTGCACAGAATGAAATGATGCACAGATATTAATTTTTATAAAAGAAAAAGGACTTAGTATAGAAATATTTTGTATCTTGTTGTTGTTGTTTTATTGTTTGCATAAGTCCTCCAGGATTTAGTTTATTCGCCATATATTAAGTAATACATTTTTAAATTGTCTTTCTGAAGATTAAGTCTCAGCCTTAAGCAAGAGAGACTTACTGCTGGAGGGCAAAGATTTATCTGATTTACCAAGCTTGCGTATGCACAAAATGAGGCTTGAAACTTCAGTATATCACCTTCCAGTAAAGGTTATGTTCTATCAAAAAGACATTTAGTGTGGAAATGTGCGGTCCCCCATGTTACCTCAGACCCATGCATATGGGTATGCCTGTTTTGGAAGAAAAGGTGAGGTTGGGTATTAAAGCAAGATTTATATAAAACATTAATAACAGATCTATATCATCAAATTCCATTCAATATTGAGGTGTAATTCGTGCTGGCGCTAGTGAACTATACTTGATGACCATTTAAATAAATTAAAAAGGCCTATTGGGAGCTGAAATCCTTAATGAGAGTTAACATTTCCCTACCCTAACATTCATCCCCCAGTAATCAACAGTGTGAGTCATAACACAGATGAAAACCTACATTTAACAAGTTGTAAGCATTCACCATGATTTCTGTTAATGTTTGTAATTTTAGTCTGACACCCGTTTAATGGTTATTGGTAACCTTGAAATAACCCTGATCAGCTCCTTTGATACATAACAGCATGTATACAGTGCTTTGCATGGACCATTTATGCCTGGATGTGGGGGTGTAGAGGAAAGTACATGAGGTGTACCCTTGGACACAAACTGGTGCACATAGGTGTAATTTATCAAGGACATTTGCTTGTTCTTGTGTGTGCAAATCTTTGGTTAAATCAGAAATATATTATATGTGATATTTTTTGAGAAATACTTTTGCTTTTCCAGGGATTTCCTGGACAAGCAGGATCTCCTGGTATCCAAGGGCCTGTGGGAAACAGTGTAAGTATTGACAGAAACAAAGTATACATTTTCATCATAAATTACAGATCAAAATGTATAGATCTCCATTAATATGTTTGTTTTCAAAACAAGGGCAAACCTGGCAACACAGGTCTAAAGGGAGCACCAGGAAGTCCAGGAGTCAAAGTAGGTGTACTTCCTTTACTATGATAAATCTGTTTAAGCTCAAGAGCAGTAAGCATTGGTTTGAATAACACGTTCTGTGGCCCATACACATCTGCGATCTCTTAAGCCTGTAAAATAAAGTAAACTCAATTACTATAATTATCATAAAATTGTTTTGTTTTTCATTGACCATGTGAAGGTATTCAATAAAACAATATAAACTGGCTTTTTCAGGGGATGAAAGGTAAAAGAGGCCCCATGGGACACACAGGAAACGAAGGATTAAAGGTAAAGATTTTGGGTTCAGTTTTTTTGGTATTCAGCTTATCATCATAGCTGCACAAATGATGAGATTACATGGGAAATCATCACATTATATTTTTTTTTTATAGGGCAAAACAGGCGAGGAGGGCCCAAAAGGAAAGCAAGGAGCCCAAGCGAGTATTCTAGCAGATATGCTGCCATTTATTTGTTTTTCCAAGAAATTATGTTAAAGGTCTTTTTTTTTTATTTTAAGCTGATTTTTATTACCTTTTATGCCTCAGGGAGAGCGAGGAGCACCTGGACCAAAGGGATACACGGGACCTCCTGTAAGAAATCCTTTTCATCCATCCATTTATTCTCTTGTATTTCTTCTGATGTGCTTTGTTCATTCTTACCTCATTTAAGCACAGATAGAAACAAAAAACATAAATAACCAACCAAGAATATTTATCATTTTGTAGGTTATCATCAAATGGATTTATATTTATATAACTTAATAGACTTATCGTTAACACCTGATTAATAACAACAGTTTTACTGCTGCAGGCATTAAGGCACACGATTTGGCTCGACTGGGATGTCAAAACTACCACAAGAACATGAACCATCACTGAAATAGATATAGACCTTCTAATAGGACTCTACAAAGGAGCTGTTCAAACAATTACCGTACCTAAAAAACCCTTGTATGTTTAGTTTAACTCTCATCAAAATGCATTTATTACCACTAGGGCTATTACCCGCTCTAATTTTAACAACAGTAAACAAACTGTTTACTGAACAATGTGCCTTATTAAAATAAAAATTACTGCAATCAGTTATTATGCTAGGTTCCAATTTTACTTTGTTTTTATGTAATTCGCTGTCAAAAAAAGTACAATTTAAAGTTTCTTTGAACTCTAAATTTATTTTTAACTATTGTTCTGTTATCTTTCTTGTTAAGCAGTCATAAAAATGCTGTTAAAAGCTAAGCTGCTGTGATCAAATGAGCCAAATGTTGATATTCAGGTTCATCAGCACTGACCACATTTCAGCACAGTTTGTATTATTCAAAGATCAGAGAATGATTGATCTGATCTGCAGAAAGCAGAATGATATGCAGGAAAACAGGTTAATCTCTGTAAGGGAAGCTATAGGATAAAAACACAGTTAAAGTTAAACCTTGTCTGCCGTGTATATTTCTCCCTGGGTGTTTCTTTCTCCATGTTGTCTTTGGCCAAGCCATAACTGACATGTACTGAATACTTGTGCAAAAAAAGTCTTAACTTTGCATATTTACCACAAGGAATAACAAGATTATTATATATATATTATATATTATATAATTATAATAATTTTTTCCTCATAGGGTATCCAGGGTAACATTGGACCTTGGGGTGAGGTCGGGACACCTGGTCCTCCAGGTGACAAAGGAATGCAAGGTCAACTTGGGCTAGATGGAGTAACTGGTTATCCTGTGAGTTAATTTTAATACATTAATGCATTTGCTTCTTTATAGCATGCTTCCAGTTACCAATCTGTGAGTCTGACCAAACAGGCCACAATGCTGACCAAAATATTATTAGAACCAAAAGACCGAATAATTAGCTAGTCTGGTTCTCCCACTGTTCAAAGACCTTGATTTGGTTAATTGATGCAGACAATTACAAATATGCAACTATTGGAAAAAAAAATATAGGTTCTTTATATGTAGAAACACAACCAGTGTCTGCAGGGGTTGGCCTTACCCTTTAATCAGTCTTTCCTTTGCATCAAATCAGAGGTTTGAATGACTCGGTTTCAGGCCTGAAGCCCAAAGTAACTGTGAGAAACAAATTTGAAAAACCATGTTTGGCTGTTCTGAACAGAAACTTTAGCTGTGAAAAAAGGGCAAAAATGTTAACACTAATTAGCCTTAAGTGTTTCCAGCCCTGTGTGTGACAACAGATCTCTTGTGATAACTGCTGACAGTATCTGAAGCAAACAGAATTTTAGCCCTTGAAGGGCTACAATTTCTTTTGGTTAGTCACCAGATCATCTCGGCATCTCGAGGCTCTGGTGTAAGAGCGGTTTGAATCAAAGCGGATGTTTTTTGGCTTTTAATCGTCATTGCTTTGCTAAATCCCACCTCTGCATAGGGTTAGGGTAATGAAAACCTTCACAAAGAAGTTTATTGATTCAACTCTCCCCATACAGGGTAAAGATGGGCCTCAAGGACTAATTGGATCGACTGGTCTTAAAGGCGACAAGGTCAAGCATTTAAAGAAATTCTCTTCCACCTTTACTTCTATCATAGTGCAGCCTCTCTTTTTTTCCCAGCACGGGAATTTTAAATCATTTATAAAAATAACCAGTGATTCAGTATTTGCTGATTTTGTTTTTAGGGATCCAGAGGAGCTGTAGGACAGAAGGGAGTTGATGGTCTCGATGGTGAGGAGGTATATTAATAAAAATCTCTCAATCATATATATATATATATATATATATATATATATATATATATATATATATATATATATATATATATATATGCACACATGCAGACTTTAAAACAATCTTTATCACCATTCTGGTAATATGTTTACTGTACATAGGCCATCCTACGAGCTTTCATTTACCGTGGTGAGTCTGACATAGTGGAAAAACTGCAAATCTTCTTTTGGAAAGTAAGCTTGTATGAGCGATGCAAACAGCAACTTTTAAATGCGTCTAATAGGCATTTTTAGTGGAGTGGAGAGTGCGGGTCTTTTCAAAAATTTGCAAAGATCATCCACTATGCCTTTAAATCTGGCCCTTTCAACTTAGCAAGCATTTGTTTTCGCAAAATGATAATCTTCCAATATATAGTTCACTCAATTAATTTCTGTAATTTACTATTTTTATTTTTTATTTAATTGACCAGAGCCGGTAAGAAATTGAAACAGTGTCTCCCTACACTGTAGGGACAAAAAGGGGCTGATGTCTTCTAGTCTGTCACTCAGAATGGAAAGACAAGAGAATTTCCATATTAAATATGAGAGATGTACTGTATGTAATCTATATGACAGGAGAAACTGTATATGTATATTAATACTCCTCTAAAGTTGCTCTTATTTACAGACATTAGGTAGTTATATGTAGGACAGTCAGGACATGGTTCAGGGGCAGGGCGCTGCCGTTTGTATCCATACAGGAAGTGCAACACTAAAATATGGTCAGTTTAGCTTAATGTTTTCATCTATTTTGTTATGGTCTCTTATTTATACTCTGATATAATTACCTAATCCTAAAGTCAGTGGATTGAATATGTTTTAATTTAATTTCCATTGGGACCGACTTTTTTTTCAGGACTGTTTTCCGGTCTGTACTTGGGAGGGATGTCAGGAAAAGCCTTATATGTCTTTGGCTTCAGAAAAAAAATATTTGGAGTCTGTTAAAACCTAAAAAAAAAACTCTTCGCGGAACTGTGTGTTTTGATTAAATTAGATGAAAACTGATCTGCTGAGAAATGGTTTGTTGTCAGAGGAAGCACACGTGGGAAAGCCTCTCATTCCCTACTGTTAGGGATGGTGGAGGATCTGTCATGATGTCGCTCCGTTTGTCATCCATAAGCCCTGGGTGCCTTAATACGCTGCCTTGCACTGTGAACCAACTGAAATAATAGCACTTTTAGACAAATATCTGCCAGAAACTGAGAACGAGTCATTTGTTTGCAGGGTTGACAATTGTTTTCTGGTCTACACTAAGCTAAAACAATAAAAGTTAGATTCATTCATTCAATATTTACTTTATTTTACTAAGCGAGGTAATAAATGTCATGCGCACTCTGATGTAACCTATTACTTTTGTAATTAGGGCCCATTTGGACTTATGGGACCAAGAGGACCAGCTAACCAAAAGGGCCTTCCAGTGAGTAAACCTGGATTTGAGTTTAATGTTACTATAGTGAACTGATAAGAGCTGATACTATATCTTATATATTTGAAAATGCATCACAAGTAAATATCTTATAATTGCATTTAATAAACTGTTTAGGGTGACAAGGGAAATGCCGGACCCACAGGGCCAAATGGAGTAAAAGGAAATGAAGGCGAAAGAGGAAACCAAGGGTCACAAGGACCAAAGGGGCCACCGGGGAAGCAGGTTCAGATGGATATTTCTGTTATCTTTGTATGCTGGACATAAAAGTATTCAAACTATATAGGTACTCATGTCTGAAATATTATTTAAATTACCTGAGGCTTCATGAACAATAGATTGCCCAACTTTCACTCTGAAAGTTTTCATTTGGGAGAAATATCGGAACTTGTGGTGCAAAAAATCATTCATGTGTAAGAACTCATGCATACACGTCAACGCACACTTCATCCAGTTGATGTATCTTTGCCTGGTCCAACCCTACCCATAAATTATGCAAACCATTATGAATGTCTAGAAGGCACCAATCACATGTCCAAATTACCACGGCAACAGAGCCGTCAGGTACTCACAGAGAGACTTTGTCAGCACACCTGATGGTTATTACTTACATCCATTCAACATTTAATTGAGTGACATCAGCTAGTCAGTACAGAAAGTTGCTGAAAAGTCTGTCAGTATTTTTGCTTTACATTTTTTGTATCAAGTCCAAAGTGTGCTGTCTAACTGCCACATTGAGCTTCATTGTGATGTTTACCAAATCCTTACAATTCATGTGAATACATTCTCGAATTTTCTATTAGAAACATTCAACCACACACACTATCTGAGGTATAATTACAGTCCAAAGCAATTTACCACATCAAAAAAAAAAAACAGAAGCTAGCCATCATGCACAAAGTCTACTTGAAGTTGATCATGGTATGCACCACAGATGAACTCATCACAGATAAACAGTATTTAACCTGTAAATCAGCTCCCTAAATCCCCCCAGTTGCAAAGTGTGCAAAGTGGGAAGCTAACACAGTTTCTCCTGATGCGCTTTTGTAAGGCTGATCAGTCTAAATAAATCATGCCTCAAATAAGTCATGCCTCATCATGTGCCAGCAGGTTAGTAACATCTCTGAAAACTCATTCTTCCATTGGCAATGTGGTCGAGTGGAACAAATGAAGGCACACCCTCCCCAATTATGCACGCCTTTATGTAGCTGTTATCAATATTTGTAATTATAAACACCTCATCATTCTTATGGATCCTCACAACTGACTTTGCTGGACTCAATCTGGTGTTCCATAGTTTGTTTTTTTCAGCTAGAGTTAAATTGTCTGTGTTCAGAATACCCATGGTCCACAGACCAAAGCAAACTTACATAAATAGTAAAAAAGAAATGTTGACATTTTCACCCTACTGAAGCTGTTTTCGGTTACTTTCTAAGGCATATTATTTTATCATTGAGGCTAAATTTGATTCAGTTGAATCATTAAGGTTTAACTCACAAAAGGCAAGACCTGTGACTCCTGGAGTTTAATAAAATGAAATCCAGTTATCTTCCAGTGGATTTAGATGAGTTTTGGTGCTATATACTTTGAATTCGTCATTTTAAAAAGGATGGTGCTGCTTCTGTCAAAACTTTGAGTGAATTACCACACTTTCATGGATCTTTTAGTTTAGTACATGCTGAGTAGGGCTTAAGATATTACCCCACCATTTTTTTGTGTGTTCACACAACTTCTATAAGAGGCCCTGGGCTGAATCAGTGTCCTCAGAAACATACATGGAGTTTATAGATGTTTTCCTTTCCTTTTTTTCCATCTTTTTTTTTCCAAAGCAGGGATACAGAGGTCCCCCAGGAGACGTAGGACAACAAGGATTTCCAGGGCCTAAAGTAAGACAGTTTATGTGAGTTTTACCGAATAAACCATAGAAAATGTCCATAAAATAAGACAAAAAGGCAAAATACCTGACAAGAAAATGATGATACTTTCACAGGGAGAAACAGGCCCCAGAGGTACAGCAGGAATACCTGGACGGTTTGGACCTGGAGGAAACACTGGAGCAGCAGGAGTCAAAGGGCAGAAAGGGCCCCAGGGACACACGGTAAGTGTGATGACCTTATGTTCTCAGAAATACTGTCAGAGAGTAAATCTTAATGTCACATTTCGCATGAGTGTACATGATACTGTCATAATATGGAAAATAAAAACATGTCTGGGAGTTACACAGCAATCTCATACTATTCCAGGGCCCTCCTGGAAGGATCGGCCCTGCTGGGCAATTAGGACCGGTTTTATCTGTAGGTAACATTTATTTATTTGTCTGAATGTGTTTATCGGCAGCGTCTTTTTACTGTGAATAAGATGCATAAAGCACTTAGACAGAAATGTTTGTGACTTGTAGCACACATTTTGCAATAAAAGGATACAAACATGGTCATCCAATATAAATGATAGAATTAGTGTTCTGTATGTTATGTTTCCCAATAACAATACAAACATTTTAAGAGACATATGACATTGATTTACTGTCTGAAATTAACTTTTGTTTTAAGTCAGTTAGGATTTCTGTTTCTTACTGTTGGAATAATAAAAGGGATATCTATTTTTTTCAAAATCATTTTTTTACAAAGATTACAAACCTTAAAACTATTTGGAAAAGCCCAGATTATGGTTTCAAGGCTTTATAATGCTCCGATTCACAACTCTTGAGTTAAACAGAGGCAACTCAAATCGACTGCTTCTTTGTGTGACGTCATGGGAAAATCCAAACACATCAGACGAGGTATCAGGAAACGAGATGGATCTATACAAGTCTTTTTCAAGCTTCGGTACCGTTTCCACAGAAGTAAAAAAAGAAATAATGAAAGTTATGGATGCCATTTTGTCATTTCAGAAATGGGGGTGCGCAAGTATTTTTTTGATATAACTAACTTCAGGGTATTTGACCATCCATTCAGTGGAGCATCAGATGTTTGTAAAGTGAGCTTCTTAGAAGTGACATGGGTGACAGCCAATGACACAAGAAAAGATGGTCGGTCAATCAGGAGCTTGTGGGCGGTCTAAACTCAGGGAAGCAGGCTTCAACTTGAGCTGCCATTTTCCGCTTAGTTCTAGTGCTTGACAAATGTCTGTGTACTGTGGGGTGACATTGTTTTTGGACAGTAACAAGTGTAGGGGACCAAAACTGATGTTTGAAGAAGTCCAGGGGACATGTCCCCCCTGTCTCCTCCCAAAAAATGACGTCCATGATTGAAGGGTTAAGCCATCATAATGTGATGTCCAATGTCGTAATTGGAAAGGAAATGTTGTTCTCCAGAAGCAAAACAAAAAACAAAGTAAAAGAGATTGTTGTGAGTGAATGCCTAGTGACAAAGATCCTCTCTCTGGGGTTTTTTCCCTAAGTCTGGTGAAAGTCAAAACTGAATTATTTTGCCTTGATTAGACCTTTTAAATTCTACAACAGGAGGGACTGATACCTCACTATATAAATAACTAAGTAAAACATTATTTTATGAAAATAACACAATGCACATTTGATGGATTTTGTAAATAGGCAATTACCTTAATCATATCACATATCAAAAGGTGTGTGAGTACAAGGCAGCCTTTGAACCTCAAATTAAAGCAGTTCTCTCAGAAGTAATGGGCCAAAACTAGAGCAAACTATTGTGAGAAACTTTTGGAAAAATTATCCCAAAAAATGCTCTGCTATTTGAAAGATAGAAATCATTTTATAAATCCTAACTGACCTAAAACAGGACAGAGGATGTGACTTCTGTTTTTTTTTAAACTGAAACTGCACTCTATGTGCCTACTTCAGCCTCCATCTATAAACTGTCTTGCTTTGACTGTGAGATTATATTTGCAAAATAGTCTCTTTAAACTTCCCTTTTACAAAATGTGAAATACTATATTTCCAGGGCTTATCAGGCATGAAAGGAGATGAGGGCAAAGCAGGAAAGCCTGGACAAAAGGTGATTTTTATCTTTTTTTTTCTATAATATACATGAATTCATATACAGGATTATTTTCCAAATGTTGTGAATAAGCTTTTTGTTTTGAAAAGTTTTGAATTGGTTGTTTTTAATTTAGGGCAGTCATGGGGTGAAAGGCATAACTGGTCCTTCAGGCATTAAAGGAGACATGGTGAGTTTTTATCATGACCCTCACCGGGTCTACACCCACCACCACCCACCCACAGCATTAGACTTCATCAGGCTCATTTAATGGTTTGCAAGGAGGCATACCCATACAGAATGTGTGTAATTTTGTGTCTTTGCAAGGGTGCAAGAGGACAAAAGGGGGCAAAGGGTGAAACTGGGAAACATGGTGCAATGGTAACAACGTTGTTATTTTCAACTGTGAGCAGAACACATATATCACTTGACACTGTGCTTACCGCCTATTAAATAATATGCTTCCAGGGCACTGCAGGAAAATTAGGGGCTGTTGGGGCTCCAGGATCTAAAGGTCGACCTGGACCTGCTGGACTCCCTGGTTTTCCAGGAGTCAAAGGGATTCAGGGGTCAAAGGTGAGAAAGGTTTTAACAGTGAATCTGTATAAGTAAAAAAACAAAACAAACAAATACTGTTAAATAGATAGTTTGACTGATAATTGTCTATATTTCATCGCTACCCACCCAGTTGAAGATGTCTTTTGATATGTTTTTTATTATAAAGGGGGAAAACGGCCAGTCAGGACGAAAGGGATCCAAAGGAGCTCCTGGTAATATTGTGAGTTTCTTTTATTGGAAAAAATTTGTCTCCTGTGGTTGAGCTAATGTGGAACTCAAAAGTCAGATATTACAAAACAAATTTGTGTTCTTCACATTAATATCAGTTTTTTCCACTAAGAAGATCTTATGATTCTTGTAAGAATGAACCCTGCCTCAGACCAGTTATAAAATGCAGCTGATGTAATTTGTCAGGACACAAAACCAAGCAAAATGATCAAATATTTTTTTACACTTTTTTCGTCCTGTCTATAATTTCCTCTCAATTTCCTCACTAAATATATTAAACTTTTAAAATATCAGTACATAGAGCTACAAAAAGAGCTGTCTGTTCTTGGAGAGATAGGAGAACACCAGTGAGAGACAGACGCTGAGCAGCAGTCTGTCAGTCAGGCCTTTATGACAGTAAATCTGAAAAGAAATAACTTCATTACAAATATCACAATTTGGTTAATAGGTGATTCTGACTGGAGCAAATTACATAATTTGTATTCTGTGAAAGGTGTGTGGATTAAATCAGACACTCCAGATAAACTTATTGAAATCATATTTTTCTTTTGTTACTAACTTAGGTTGATGGCAAGGAGGCTTCAGACTTGAAGCTCTTCTAAGATCAATCTTCAGCCTACCCATTGGAAACATGACTGACTGAGTTACATTTTAATGAAAGCTGTTTTATAGGGATCTGAAGGCCAGAAAGGGAATCATGGACCACCTGGAACACCTGGAAAACCAGCAAGTATCTCTATTAAACAAAACACAGTCTTAGATTATTGGTCACAGCTGCAGGAATCTATTACAAATAGAAGATAACTTGGCATGCAGATGATTTCTAAAAAACTTGTCTTCTTTATGGCAGGGCTTGAGTGGCTTGGATGGTTTACTGGGGGTTGAGGGTAATGAAGGGTATCCGGTAAGAACACTTTTTTTTTTGGCTTCTGTTTTCTTCCAGTTGATCTCATAAAAGATCAACATTTTTAAACACAACTTATCTCTTCTGCTCCTTATGAAGGGGGATTTTGGTTTAAGAGGAGCTCCTGGAGCCCCAGGCCCCCCAGGCGTGACAGTAAGGCAAAGATAAGTTTGAATCTGGCACATAAAATAGAAAACAAATCATCTGGTTACAAATGTTTTCATATTAATTATAGGGAGAACCTGGATCTCCTGGGATCAGAGGACACACTGGTGCTATAGGGGTTAAGGTATGTTATTGTGGTATTTTACTTTACTTTAGTTTCTTTTTAAAATTTTCGCAAGTTGATAATCCAATACTGACATGTATTAACTCCACACAATCAATTTTCTCAGGGTAAACCTGGTACAACTGGAGCAAATGGACCTCCTGGACCAGTTGGGCCAAAGGTATACAAATTCATTTTGAAGCAGAACAAAGGAACCTTTGGAGGATTCATTAACACCAGAGGTCATTTATTATTTAGGGAATCGCTGGACTGAGAGGAGAAAAGGGTGAAGCAGGCAATGATGGAGCACAGGTAAAATGCATAAATTGCACTGTTGTGCAGCAACTTTACATTTAATGCTCACCCGGGGAAGGAAAGTGATTATTGCCCGGTTGAATACTCTTGTAACTTCTTATTTAATGAAATAACTTTTGGTCTGTTATATGTTGTTCTGTAAACACACACCCAACTGTGTGTCAGGACAACAAATGAAAGTAGGATTCGGGCTCCAAGGTCAAGCACTAAACTCTGCACGCAGTCCAAGTCCATCTATTAATCTTCTAACACACTTAATCCCAAGTGGGGTCACTAGGGGTGATGGTGCCTATCTCCAGCTGTGAGCGAGAGGCGGGGTACACCCTGGACAGGTCACCAGTCCATCGCAGGGCAACACACAACCACTCACGCAGGAGAATTTAGAGAAGCCAATTAACCTAACAGTCATGTTTTTTGGACTGTGGGTGGAAGCCGGAGTATCCAGAGAGAATCTACGCATGCTCAGGGAGAACATGCAAACTCCATGCAGAAAGACCCCAGGCCAGGAACTGAACCCAGAACCTTCTTGCTGCAAGGCAGCAGTGCTACCCACTGTTCCACTGAGCAGCCGTCCAAGTCACAAATTAGAGTTTAAAACTCTTTACTGAACTAGTGAAGCTTTACTAGACTAAGCTGGATTGTACACAAATAAAATAAAATAAAATGGTTGAAAACCTCATTCCATAAATAATGCAATGATGCACATTTTGGTATGGGTTTTACATTAGTGTTTTAAACCATAGTGAAATATAGTTTGTTTAAGCTTTATAAACAACACCTGAAAACATGTCATAGTACCATGCAGTCATCACTAGCTTTTTCATAGCTTATAGTTTTGATGAAATCATCAGAAATCATCAAAACCCAAATTGTTTAGCTGAAAACCATTTCCCTAACTTTGCCAGAGCTGTGATCTGTGTTGATCTCATGTGTGGAAAGGTGAGGCATCTCCAAAGTTCAGGAAAGCAGGGCGTGTTTAATCGGTCTATGTTCTTTTGGGTGCTCCATGGTTCCAGTCTCTGCTACCTTCAAGTCATTCCTGTAAAATCAGAGAGAAATGTTGCGGAAAGTCTGTTTTTCAGAACCGGATTCTAACATTTCCCAGGTCCACTTAAGCTGTCAGCTGTAAGAAGGTTTTGATAATCATGGCCTGCATGGTCTTCTTTTTAGGGGTCTCTCCAATGTAGATTGCTTGGAGAGCCACAACAAAAGAGGGGGAGCCGTATTACTGTGCACAGCAGAGGGACATGATGAGATGTTCCTGCGATGTGTTTCTGGGAGTGTTTTGGAGACAGGATGGTGCAGATGTTTGGAGACAGCAAGCATTTTGCTCCATCAGTGTTTAAAGTTAATATTATGGTTTATGGCAGGGTTCCTTAACCCTGTTCCACAGGGCACATTGTCCTCCATGCTTTAGGTGTTCCCCTGCCCCCACATGCCTAACCTGAATAAAAAGGTGATTGGAAGGTGATCAAAAAGCTTTTGCTGCATTTGATGGCTGCCGGAGGGGTAATGCAATCATTTATATCGGTGTGCTTGAGTAGAGAAACATATAAAACATGAGGGCCTGTGCGCCCTGAGGACCAGGGCAGTAGTTACATAAATCTCACCTTACAATAAATAGATTTTTTCCCTTCCAACACAGAAATTTGTCTTTGATTGAATAAATAAAGAGTTTTTTCCTCTAAATTGTTTAGTACCGGTATGTTAAATATTTGAAGTGACCTAATTTCATTAGTTTTATTTATAGGGTCTTTCAGGGGATATTGGGATGCCAGGACCCGTTGGTCTGTCAGGGCTAAAGGTAATTTAAATTGTGCAAAATTGTGCAAAAACATTAGACTAATAAGCATAGGGGTTTTTTATATAATCAAATCCAGATTTAACTGATTTCTAAATTTTATCTCAGGGAAGTACTGGTTTGCAGGGCCTAACAGGTCAAACTGGTCAGAAAGGAAAACAGGTAACTCTTTCGTATTTTTATCTTTTTTTAATGTCTTAATCGATATTTGCAAATTGATAACACATACATCCTTTTCCACAGGGGCAAAAAGGGCTTGAGGGGCCAGCAGGGCAGAGCGGTGCACCTGGATTTACTGTATGTTAAAAATGAAATTCTGACTTTGAACATACAAAATTATGTTTTGTTTTTTTACAAAAAATAAATTTGATTTTGTAAATAACCCTTTGTAACCATTTTTCCTGCAGGGCCAACTTGGAGAAAAGGTGATTTTCTTTTTATCTTTATTTATATTTTTCTTAATAGGAGATCTTAAGATGGTTCAGATTTCCTATTAATGATTAATTAAGATGATTTAAAATCTTAATTAAACTATATTTGTAATGAACATTTTTTTACACTTACATTGTAGTGTTGATGCATTTGTGTATATATATTTAATATGGAGTTGTATTGTTACCATTAAAGACATTAACATTTTAAACCCTTTTCAAAATTTTCAAAGGGCATCAAGGGTTTCCAAGGAGACAGAGGACCAAAAGGGGTAAAAGGCAAGCCTGGACCTCCTGTAAGAGACGTCGCTATGATGTGAACAAACACATAATCACTGAATTACCAAAGTCTTATTCATTTTGCACATTTCACTTTTTGTTATGTAGCAACCAGTAACGTCAATGTATAGCTAAGAGCCCCCCAAAAAAACTAAAACTAAAAAATAAATCACCATAATGAACGCATCCTTCCCATGGTTATACATGGTGATGGCAGAACCATACTGTGCAGATGCTTTTCTTTAGCTGAAAGGACAAAGCTGGTCAAAAAACGATGGGAAGCAGGATGCAGATTAATTAAGGGAAATCCTACTAGAATAACATGTTATAGGGTTAAAAAACACTTAATACTGGTTAAAGGGATCATCTTTAAGCAGGGTACTGAACCAGAGCTATGTGGAAATCATTTTAATTGCATTTATGTGTCTAAATTGCCTAGAAAAAGTGCAGACCCAAAATCAAAAGAGAAAAATAGATGTTCACAATTCAGTTTGACAGAGAATAGGAGATTTACAAAGAAAAGGAATTTTTACTTTTTTAAGATTTCAAAGCCACGAAATACCTGCAGCTGTAAATTTGTAAAAAAAAAAAAAAAAATGGTTTCTAGAAAACATTAGCATACAAATGCACACCACACTTTTCAGATTTTATTAAAAAAAAAAAAAAAAAACATTTTAGAAACAGAAAAACTTCACATCAAAATCAACTAAATACGGTAGCTTAAACATTTGGTTATATTCCCAAAAATGTGGGAAAGGGTTAAAACAGTAGGACTTATTACATGTATTGTAATGTTGCCAAAACATTTTTGATTTTCCCTTTTTTCACTACAGGGACAACCAGGATCACCAGGCAGGCTCAGAGGAGATCTGCCACCTAAACAAAGGCACAAATCCAGATCCAGTAAAAGGCACACGCAAAACAATTCTCAACAATCATTTTCTCTCCAAAAACAAGATGGAAAAATACTCGTCAGTATAGAGTTTCTTCTCTTACAGATGTTGCTTATCTATTAATACTTGAATCTAGCAATCACTGCAGTTTTAAGAAGATTACTGACTCCTCTACAGCAGGATCCTCTGATGTCAAGGTGGTCTGAAGACAAGGAAGCTGAGGAATCATCCACTTTGTCATTAGGAACAAAAAATAACCCTGGCACTACCTGCTATGAATTGAAACTTGTCCGTCCGTATCTGGAAGACGGTGAGCATCTGTTGAATCCCCAAATACAACAATATGTATATTTAATGGAGATGCAGCATATGTGAAAAACATTTTGGTGAATACTGAAATAACAAGGTGACTTAGTAATCAAGATTTTTAATGTCTATCCACCTTCAGTCCATAGTAAATATAGACCCCTAGATAAGTGGGCTATCCAGCTACTGGGTTGTAAATAAAATCTGTGTGTTTTCAACACAATATGGTTTTAAAAAAGTGGAATGGATAGACTCATTTTTTGGCACAGAGATTACTTGGTTGCAGTTTCTTGATAACTTGAGCAACTTTTTTTTTACCTGACAAAACCTTATACTGTTCATTAAAACCTACATGTTTTAACTTATTATTTATATATATATATATATATATATATATATATATATATATATATATATATATATGTGTGTGTGTGTGTATACATATATGATAAGCCTGTATATAATGTGTAACCCTAATCTGTGGATATGATTTCCAGGTTCCAATTATTCTGATTGTTTAGGTTCTTTCTTTGTTTTAGGTTATTTTTACATGGACCCCAATCAAGGCTGCACATGTGATGCTGTCAAAGTCTTCTGCAACTTCACAGCAGGAGGAACAACATGCATAGGTCCCCGAAATCCACAGGTAGTCAGGGAAATGAGGATTAACCAATTTGTCTGAAATTATTTCACTACTAACATTTAGGGTTAGAGCTTTAAACAGATGTTTTTGTTTTTCCCAATAATTATCAGAAGATTTTTTTTTTATCTTAAGGCTGCTATTTCTTAGACCTCAGATCATTAGGAATTAAATAAGAGACAAATCTTCAAATAGTGTATCATTGTAGGAAGGCTATCAGACCGACAAAAAAAGAACACATAACCTAAAGTTGAATTTTTGTTGGTCAAATTGAACTATTTCTATCTATATGACCTTTTTTTTAGACTAGTACAGAATAAATATGAAGACTTCAAGATTTGATATCTTTCTATTTTAGATATTTAATCCTCTCTGTTTGAGTAAAGATGGTTGTGTCCCATTGTTTGATTTTTCATTTCTAATCAAAAACATGTGGAATTTTTCACTTATAATAGACCAGTAGGGACGAGGAAAATAATTGCTGTATGTTAAGGACAAAATGTGATATAATATTGTTGCCCACAGACAACAGTTTTGTTCCTTATGTCAATACTGTACTTGTTTACATTATAAAAATGATTTAAAGGTGTAGAAAAATGTATACATTTTAATTTTTATCTTGCATTGACATAACTATGGGAGTAATATTTTATTCATTAGATTAAAATGAGTCAGAAACCAGATATGGATCAAAAGATGTCGATGCTGTGGTTTAACCAACAACAAAATGGACACAAAGTAAGTCTCAAATAAAATTCTGTTAGATTATTTGTTTTTTCTTTTTCTTTGCTCAACATTTCTTCTGTCTTTCTGTGGCCAGTTTGAGTATACTACTCTGGACGTTGTGCAGCTGAGGTTTCTGAGATTCCACAGTCAGACTTCTGTCCAGCACATCACTCTCAGATGTACAGGAAACCAGTCCAGTCCCACAACCATGGCCAGTTTGACTGTATACCTGCGGGGAGATTCTGGCCAAGTCATTGATTCACGCCTCATTACAGCTTCCAGAAAAGCCTGTGAGGTGAGAGAAAGAAGAAATCTGTCAACATATATTCTCCATCTGTTTGGCAATGTATTGCATGAATTAGAAAACACACTGCTTTTACAAGATATGTGAAATTATGGTGACAACAAAATAAGAGTGATATAAGAGCACTTCACACCATACTGGCACATGATTTAAGTCTTATCAATGGTGTCTCTAACTAAAAGCGTGATATTGAAAAATACCTGTTTGCAGATTATATTTGGAGTAATTGCACTACTGTCACTATCTGTATATTTTTGGGGTTTGTTTTTTCTCTGGGTTTACATTCAGCATCTTTTTGGCCTTTGATTATTCTTGATCTCTAAATATCATTGTTGTTCTTCTTGAATTCAGTTGGTTAAGAGTTAGCAAATGATGGTGTCATGTGAAACATAAGGTGCACTTGGTACCAAATGAGTTGAATGATGGCAGTAGATGCAACTTCAGGTGCATTTACTTCTTCCAATCAGACTGTGGAAGTCATTGTCAGTTAATGCTTGAATTTACCCATGAATATATATATGCCCAAATCTCAGGCTTCATAGATATTTATATATATACCTACATACATTAAATCAAATATGGTGAAATAAGCTGTTGATTCTTAGAAATCTCAGTACATGATTCCTGAATGTTTTTTGTTTATCTCCTGTTTAAGTGTTTTTTTTTTTTACTTTTTATTTAGTATTCAATTTTGCATTAAAACAAACAAGAAAAAAAAAAGAATGTGAACAGAGAATGGTGATAAAAATACAGCAAACGTATATAGAGATAGCACTAGATAACCTGAGCCACTCTAACTATAAGCTTTATCAAAAAGAAAAGTTTTAAGCCTAGCATTTAAAGCAGAATGGGTGTCTGCATCATGGACTAAAACTGGTGGTTGGTTCTTCAGGAGAGGAGCCTGATAACTAAAAGATTCACATCCTATTCTACTTTTAGAAATTCCAGGAACCACTAGTAAACCTGCAGATTGAGAGCGAAGTGCTCTGTTAGGAACATAAGGAACAATTATATCTCTGATATAAGATGGAGCTTATATCAGAGATATAATTAAGAAATTAGGAAAATGAGGATTTTATATTATATTCTGGATTTAGCAGGTTAAAGCCAGAATAGAATTGAGAATAATTAAGAAGATACATTTTCTGAACTACCAAGAGCTTCAATTTAAGAGATGCAGTTGCAGGGAAAGAAAGGCAAGACCATGAGCTCCAGAATAATTACAGCCAGTGCAGAGCTTGCATTAGCATCAGGATGATGTGATTGCACTTAAATGCACAGCAAGGAGAGAGCCAATGGAAACGACTGGTGGGCTTTCCTGATTATTTTAGCTGATCACGTTTCCTTGAATGAAGAATGAAGTCACAGCATCCCTAAAGACAAATCTAAACATTCAAACATGATTTTCGTAGAACTTCTCCTTGGAATACAGTCAACTCTCAAACAAATTTGAACAGATTTGACTGTGTGGAGGAGGCGACCATTTGTTATTCAGGAGTTAATTGATTGTTAAGTTGTTTTTTAAAAAAAAGTGTTTTGTTGTGTCACCATGAAAAGAATAACGCTGAATTTTTACAAAAACATTTGCTAATATAGAGGTATTTGTCTATAGAGAAAGAAAACTGAATCTTTCCTTTCTCTCTGGTGTTTTTTCTAGGTGGAGATGTTGGTGAAGGTCCGAGGTAGCACAGAAATGTATCGAGGAGAAATGGAGTTACTTCCTGTTAGAGATCTGGGAATAGAGTTCAGTAGTCCTCCTAGCTTTATTTCTGAGTTCTCTGTATTTTTGGGACCCCTCTGCTTCTTGTGAGCAATATATTGTGTGTGTGTGTGTGTGTGTGTGTGTGTGTGTGTGTGTGTGTGTGTGTGTGTGTGTGTGTGTGTGTGTGTTGGGGGGGGGCAAGCAGATTAATCAGAGTTTGATTGTAAAAATATATATATATATATAATATACTGTATATTATCCATATAGTATATGTATTGTATCTATTTATTGTGATGTAAACATTTTTTCTTCATCTTAAATTTATTATGTTTGATCAAACACGTATGTACTATTAAAATGTTTGACTTTTATTTTCTATCCTTCACTTTCATCATACATTAATCTCCTGAATACCGATCTATATTTTGTTTTAAAAGTGTTCACATGATACAGCAGATGCTGAACTTCAAAAATCTAACACTGCTCTTTGCTTCATTGCTTAAACTTTTACTCAGTAAAAATGTAGGGCAAAGTAAAAAAAGGCGCCTTAAGGAAAAGTACAGCACCTCGTATCTCTTACCGTTAATAAAGCAATATCCAACTCGGGAATAAAGATAGTTTATCCCAAGCCTCATATAATTTCCTTTTCTCCTGCAGTCATGCACGGATACACTAGACTGCTAAAAATATTCAGGCAGCATCACACTAGTCTGTATTTTGTTAAACATCCTCAAGTTGAGTTTCATGGAGTTTTAATCTAAATATTTACACACATAATTTGCCCAAAATGTATTGGATCATCCATAGAATGCAGGTATTTTAACCACTTTTACATCCATATATGTGTAAATTCTAACAACTAGACATGCAAACATGTTTTGAAAGTATAAATTTGTGGGGGGAAAAAAAGTAAAGCTACATAGATTCTTTGAATTAGCTTTAACTTAAACATCCAAGGGACAGCAATGAATTACTAAAAGAAAAGAAGAAAATCAGAATTAGCCTCAGAGGTACTAGGATATAGATAATGCAAATTCAGTTGTATGGTTTTAAATTTAGTCTGGTTTTTAACCCTGTTTAAAACCTACTTGAGTTACACCTGACCAAATGATAATAGGTCGTTTTAGAAGCCAACAGGGTCAGCCCATCGGACATGAAGGACATGGTCCCTGTTCTGGCCCCTGTACTAAAAATACATTGCAAAAATTAAATCTAAGTAAGTCTGTTTTCCTAAATTAAGTGCAATTTTCCCTTGATCTAAGCCTGTTTGCTAGCACAATAAGATGGTAAATTTAGTCTAGAAGCACCATTGTACATGATAAGGGATTTATCTCATTCAGTGGGAATTTATTTCATCTATTTAGGAAGTGAGATGTAATTAAGAATCTTGCAGGTGCGTTTTACACTTTGGGGATGCTACCTACCTTTTTAAAAATATTTTATGTGTTTCATGTGTTTTTATGTGTGAAGTGTGAATGTGTGTGTGAAATGTGTACTACTACTGCACAAAAATTTCCCATAGTGGGAAAAATAAAAGCTACTGAACCAGAGGCGTAGTCAGAAATTTTTTATAAGGGTGGCCAGGCAATAACCAATGTACACTGAGGGGTGACCGAAAGTGGAGAGGCACTAGAACCTCACGGTAAATCTGTAATGTTCCAACTGGGAAATGAATGAGCAAAACATCCATATTTAGATGTGACACCATCCTGGAGAGAAATATCAACTGTGCTGCTACCATCAACACCCTTGTTTATAGATGCTGGAGATCGGCCTGTTTTCCAGTGTAGTCCTGTTTCTCTGACCATGACTGGCTGGATGTGCCCTCTTCATCCTCTGACATGGGAGCTGGCTTGGAGCTCGTCTGCCTGGCTGTGTGTTTCCTGGACGGGGCCGCCTTTTACAGCTGCTTTTTGTATCTCTGCTTCTGTCTCCTTGAACCCCAGTCGGCCTCGGCAGATGGCCGCTCACACTGAGCTTGGTTCTGCTGGAGGTTTCTTCCTGTTAAAAGGAAGTTTTTCCTCTCCACTGTCGCTACAAGCATGCTTAGTGTGAAGGATTGCATTTGAGTCAATGAGTCAATGCAATTAACCTTTTCCTTAGATAGAAAACTTTGAATCAATTTGATTGTATGGTCTGGTGAATTTTAAAGTGTCTTGAGACGACACGTGTTGTGAATTGGCGCTATAGAAATAAACTGAATTGAATTGAAATATTTTCTAAATAAAGACAAGCTATATTTTCTGAAAGCCTTTGCTAACTAATAGACGCATATATTCAAACATCCGTGCTTTCTAGATAAAAGGTATAATGAATAAAATTCTTTCAGGTTTAAGTTTTGGGTGAACATCTTTTCCATTGTCATTACTTAACTACTTTTATCAGTAATCATTCTGCATGAAATTGATATTTACAAGTACAAATATCTAAATAAATTGATTATTAAGTTTTTATTAAAATATTTATCTATGATTTCACTGAAGACTCCTAGATGACTCTTTACTCGATAAAACACAAAATCTATTTCTGCTTGAATTCTGTATTTATCATCTTTAATGTTAGTATATTGATGTGCATAATAAACCACAGTGTTTTTGTTGTCAAGTAATTGTTAATATATAAAAAAAGTAAATGTTTTGAATATTCCACTTGAGAGTATTACTGTTGCCACCATCTGTATTAGAGGGAAATAATTGGTAGGGTGGCCCCCCATCTAGCTCCGCCCCTGTACTGAACTGAGCTAAACTAGAAAGATGACATTTTTCATTCTGAGATGATAAATTGATGATTCGGAGATTTTGGTGTATAGAATGCATTTTTCAATTCAATTCTGTTGAAACACTATTTTTCCTCGTTGCTCATGACGTCAAAAGGAGGAGAGACTTTTGGCCAATCAGCATCGAGGCTCTGACACATCATCTTGTCAGTGTTTGTAAATGAAGTAGCTGAGTTCACGTTGTCGCTATTAGACATCAGACATCTGCTGGCGCTCTGCTCAGTAGCCTGGGAAGCCTCGACAGAGAGGAGCAGCCTGCGGAAGCGAGTAAGTAATGAGCCAAGTGGAAATTTTTTATTCAGTTTCATTCCGCCCGCGGTTGACCACTGAGGGCTAATTTAACTAGCTCTGCCATTTAGACAGAAGCGATAATACTTCAGCAGCTAGGTGGTGATTTAACCTTCTGCTGTGTGGCTAATCAAAGGAGAGTGTGCTTTGTCCGTCCTATAAAATCCTTCTCATTCCTTTGCCTAACATGCTACCCTGGAAAACCCTCCCCAGAGCAACAGCAGTAAATAACTGGAGCCTTTGGGGTTATTTTGTTGTTTCTGTAGGATGGAGGGCGAGAGTGAAAGTTTGCTCAGATCCCGCAGCCGAGCCGCCAACAATCTGCCCGCCTCCTCAGATTTGGATGGAGGTTCTAATCCTGGAAGACATCCGCATGGGAATGGCGATAACCACCATATAACCAGCAATGGTGAGCAGGGGTGAAGCTAGATGGGGGGCCAGGGGTGGCCATGGCCACCCTTAGCCAATCAATCTACCATTTTTCCCCCCTCTAATACAGATGATGGCAGCAGAAATACTCTAAAGTGAAATATTCTTTAAAATTGTTCATATATTACTAACTATTTTTTCATGTATTCATAATTTCTTGACAACAAAAACACTGTGGTTAATTATACACATCAATATACTAACATTAAAGACGATAAGTACAGAATTCATGCTCTTTTCAGAATTAGATTTTGGTATATATGGGGTAAATAAAAAATGATGTGGCTGTGCAAGTCATCCATGAGTCTTCAGTGAAATCATAGATAAATAACTATTTGAATAAAAATGTATTAAATAATCGATTTTATGTAGATATTAGTGGTTGTAAATATCAATTTTATGCAGAGTAATTATCGATAAAAGTAGGTAAGTAATGACAATGGAAAAGATGTTCACCCCAGAACCCTGAAAATATTTTATGCACTATACCTTTTTTCTAGAAACCACAGATGTTTAAATATATGCGTTTATTTGTTGTCAAAGGCTGTAGGAAAGTATAGTTAGTCTTATCTTTGGCTTGACCATGAGGTTCTGGCGCCTATCCGCTTTCGGCCACCCCTCAGTGTACATTGGTTATTGCCTGGCCACCCTTATAAAGATTTTCTGGCTACGCCTCTGATGGTGAGCAAACATGCACAGGTTGTATAGGGGGACATTAACCCCTAACATTAGGTTTTTTTGTTTTTTGGGGATCAGTTATTTTCCAGTGATGGTGTTACAGACCAAAATGTGATGATGTGTTCCTCTTAAGCAAACACTTGTGACCTCTGATACACTTTCATTGTGAAATACATTAGGAAGTGTGATAATGACGTGTTTTAGCAGTAGAAATGTCAGAGCTAGATAAACACAAATCAAATCGATTGAAGCGAGATTATCTAAGTGTAGGAACATTACCTTTGTGAAAAATATTAATTATTAGGGAAACTGTTCTCTTTTGTCCATAAGAGCTCACCTTACGGGGAAAAAATAGCATTTGATGTCCTTAGATTTTTTCTTTTCTTTTACATGACATAATGGTTGGAGTGCAACTTCAGCTGTTACAGTTAGTCACAGTTGACCTAAAAGAAAGCTTGTTGGTCATCAGATCACTGAGAATAGCAATGACCTACAGTAACCTTAGTGAGAATGACTATTTGACATTTTGGGTTTTCCAGTTTTTGTTAGAATTCATTTCAAATGCTTTTTCCCCACATTCAAACTGATCTTAGTTCCACTAAACGGTCTTTTAGTTGTGCTGTCTTTCATGTTAATTGATTCAAAACCTTCCTATCAGGAGCTTTGTTAAAAATTAGGACATGTTTCTATTTCTTTTAGGTGTGCCCACAGAAGGAATCTGCATATATATATATTTATTTATTTTATTTTTTTAATTGTACAGAACAGTTCATATTGTTATTTCTTTAACAACATTTCATTGTGGTGTTCTAATTTCAGGGAAAATTGAAGTGGAGCATGTGATCAGTAGAAAGCTTCAACTCAAAAGGAAAGCAGAGGTTAGTTGGTGGTTGAGCTGCATGATTTATTATTCGTAATCACATTGCCAATATCA